AGTGACAGATTTTATTTTCCTGGGCTCCAAGATCACCGCAGACAGGGACTGCAGCCAAGAAATTAAAAGACGCTTGTTCCTGGGGAGGAAAGCTATGGCAAATCTAGATAGCATACTAAAAAGCAGAGACATCACCCTGCCAACAAAAGTGTGTATAGTCAAGGCTATGGTTTTCCCAGTTGCAATGTATGGCTGTGAAAGTTGGACCATGAGCACCGAAGGATTGAGGCCTTTGAATTGTGGTGCTGGAGGAGACTCCTGCAAGTCCCTTGGACCGCAAGGCGATCAAACCAGTCAGTCCTAGAGGAGATCAACCCTGACTGCTCTTTGTAAGGCCAGATCCTGAAAATGAAACTCAAATACTTTGGCCACCTAATGAGAAGGAAGGACTCCCTGGAGAAGAGCCTAATGCTGGGAACAATAGATGGCAGAAGAAGAAGGGGATGGCAGAGGATGAAGTGGCTGGATGGAGTCACTGAAGCAGTTGGTGTGAGCTTGGGTGGACTCCGGGGGATGGTGGAGGACAGGAAGGCCTGGAGGAATGTCATCCATGGGGTTGTGATGGGTCAGACACAACTTCGCGACTAACAACAACAACAACAATGCACTGTTTATACATTTAATCTGAAATTGTTGAGAAAATCCAAGGCTTGGCCCTGAAGTTGCTCCTCCAATCAAGAACTGAGAGAAAGAGAGAGATCCTACCAACCCCCCCTCCCCATCCTCACACAAGCTCCCTGCAACAGTGCCTACAGTATTCCCGAGGAGCCCTCTTGCAGAAGCAGATTTCTCAGGGGTCTAAGCATCTTCAAAGGGAAGGAGGAGGTGGGAAAGCCTCATTCTAGCACTATGAACTCTACTTCATTCATAGAAGGAAGGTTAAGATCAAGCGTCATGTGCTGTACACTAAGTGACCATCAACATATGGAGTTTAAGGTCAGGGTGGCTGCTTACACTTTGCCCTCCCCCCCAAAAAATTACAGGATACAGATTTTCATAAGATTTCATAGGCTAATGTTTGCATTTGTATTTAGGGTGTATGCATGTATTTAGAAATAATTTGTATAATGTTAATAGACACACAGTGCATCTCACCATAGCAGAGGGGCAGAGGCCAGGTGAGCTGTGTACCTGACCAGCCTGGTGAGTCCAGATGCTAACAGTTCACCAGCAACTTATGACCCCTGCATTGTCTTCTTAGGGTTCTCTTGAACTGGGCAGCCCTTCAAATAGAGGACTGTCCTTGGCATATGGCCACCCTCTTTTGTGTGTGCAGGGAAGTATACAAATCAGTTGCCTCAGTGAAGTCTATGCCTCTTTTCACCACTGGGTGGATTTAAGGACATATGCTACTGTTCTGATGTATTTTGATCATTTCATAGAAGTGACACACTGTGAAATTTGAGCGTGGTCATTCATCTTTTTCACAGATATGAGCAAGCATATCTGACCAGTTTGATCGGGCTCAGGCCTGAAACCTATTTCTGGATTGGTCTTTCTGATCTCGAAGAAAAAGGAACATTCAAGTGGACCAATGGAGAAGCTGTCAAATTCACTCACTGGAATTCAGAAATGCCTGGTACATAGACATATACTATAGAGATGAGTTTGCACTAACATCCTTTATTTGGCAATGGAAGCTCATCTTCTCATTTCACCCCTTATTACGTGGCGAATTCTAAAGAACATATTTTTCTCACATTTGTTCTTTAGTACTTAGCTTGCCTCAGAAGGATTTTCCATAGAATATTCGGTTTATTTGCTTGTCATCAATTTGCTTTCTTGTGTTAACTTGGTTAACTCTGAAAGTATATTTCTGCACCATCTCTTGAAAACCTGTCACTCAAATCTCTGCTTTTCAGTAATATACAAGACAGAGGATGCAACCCTGACCCACAGCTTTCCCAGCCTTTTAAAGAAACATTTCAAGATGAATTGTCTATCAGTTTTTAACTATCAATGTTAGGGTGAGAGGGCCTAAAAAGACACAGCAGAATAGTCAGGGCTTCAATAGAGATAAGTTTGAAGTATTTAGAGTACACCTCTATGTATCTCTACTGGCAAGTAAGCATCACTCACTTTAATTGGATTTACTCATAGGAAAGGATTGCTGCCTTAATTATATTTGCTTTTAGGATAACAGTTGAGTAGGATATGGGTATGGGGTAGGGTATGCCACTGTAGACAAGCTAGTCAGTTGTATTTCTACTCTATTTGCTTTTATTCTGTATAAGTTACAGGCAATCAAAAAGGGCTTCAGGCTGCAGACTAAAATCCGTATGCAAACAAAGAAGGCAAAGGATTAAAGCCAGCACTACATAATGCTGGTTCTCTAACCACTAGTGGGCTTTCTAGATTATAGCATCTTAAGGAAAAGTTGACACAAAAATAGTCCGAAGGATGACAGTTCTTCTTCAAGCTGCATAAGTGATTAAGGCTGGTCCTCAAGGCAGCTCCTTCCACATGGTGGCATTCCTGGGTGTGAGTCACTCAGATGACCATGTTACACTGCATTGTGGATCCCTTTTCATTTGATAGCTACCTCTTGGATCTCCGATTCCCACTGTTTCTTCCTCCCCACCTTGGTTGGGAGCCCACATTCCCAATTCCAGAAGCTCCCCCTTGGTTACAAGTGTGTTTACTCATCTCTCAGGAGGCCTGGACTCTTCAGCAGCCTTTCTCCCTGTCCCCTGCTTTTCCCATTCCAACTCAAGACTAAGTCTCCAGTTCTTCTCCAAGTAACTCAGAAGTTGTGTTGCACCCAGGTCCTACACCTGTTCTGTTCTTTTCTATATATCCACAAGTAAAAGGGCTAGAGACTTACTTTTAAAGAGCATTATGTTTTATTGACTTAAACAATCTCTGCACCAGGGTTCAACAGAGTTTCCAGGACCATTCATCAAAATGAATGGGGAAGGCCTGGAATACCCCTTCAAATGGGGCAAGAGAAACAGGCCCTCTCTCCATGATGTGCCCTGATTTAAAAATGGCATTGCAGTTTTTGAGCTACTTTCCAGTTTCCTGTAATACAGACGACCAGTTTGTGCACGCAGGGGATCCATGTGTTTCTTTTTCGCTTTCCTTGTGGAGTCTCTGGTTTCTTGTGCCATGTAAGTCTCCGTTGTTTTCCATAGCCACCTGGTATTTTGCCCAGCTTTTCCCAAACTGCACAGTGAAGCTTAAACTAGCTTTTGTTTTTCCAGCATTTTAAAATCAAATGGACATGTGTTGAATGTTATTTATTTATTTATTTGAAGAATTTCTAACCCAAGCATCTTGGGATGGCTTACAAAAAATGAGTAGAATAAAACAAACACCACAGCATCCAGTGTGTGATCTATATTTCTTAAAATATATATTTTTCTCAATTTTTTCCTCCATTCTTTTGTGGACATCTATACGAGATACATCTCAGACTAAGAAATCTTGGTATCATCATATATGAAAATGGATTTTATCCTAAAATAGAACTGGGAGGCATTATATTGAGAATTGGGGCAGTGATTTTTTTACGAAATATGCTACTTTAAATTACCTGTCTGTCTCTTAATGTGCCATGTAGGACGGAAGGTCGGCTGTGTTGCCATGAGAACTGGAATTGCAGGCGGCTTATGGGATCTTCTGACATGTGAGACAAAGGCCAAATTTGTCTGCAAGCACTTGGCTCTTGGAGTCACTCCGCCACCTGTGCCAACAACAACTCCCGCCCCGACATGCCCCGACGAGTGGGGGTCAAGTGACCAGAGGAGTGTGTGCTACAAAGTAAGACATTTAATAGCTGGAATTAGACATACCTGCCACACTGAGATGTTTTTCCATGTGCGCACACACCACACACATGGAGAGTCAGTGTTGCATGGTGCTTGGAGATTTGAACTGGGGTCACGGGACATCTGGGTCTGGTCCCAAAGCACCATGAAGCTCACTGGGCCTGTCACTCAGTCTCATTCTAAGCTACCTCACAGGGTTGTTGTTTGGAGGATAAAATGGAGGGGAAGAGGTCTGTGTAAACTATGTTGGGTTCCTCTCAAGAGGGATAAAAAACAAGGTATAAATGCATCCTCCTCCTCCTCGTTAATGGTAAGAGGCTGCCTTATCAGGAAAAATTAGGATTAGCTTGCCACTTATGAATGACCAACCAAGAGGACAAAGGTAAGCATGGATTTGTTGAAAGTGGGAATATGCTGATGTACTTGCACACATTCAAATCTAGAAATAATTGCTATGATATGGATAGACATTCGGATCACTGCGTCACACCATAGTAGGGAAGGCTGGGGCCAGGTAACCTGTGTGCCTCCTAGTCCATTGTTCAGGTGTTCCTTCTGATGGTTGTCTTTCAAATGGAGTTGGGTCAGACGGAGTCTCGGGGCCAGGTAAATGTCTATATTGCTTCCTATTTGCTTTGTTATAGTTCACTTCATGGCATCCCTGTGTTCTGAAGTAATGCTTTTCATTGTTCACATCTGCACAGTATATTGTGCTTAAGCATAAATTAATGCATTGTCATTAGGCTTTCACCAAAGGAGATGAAAAGAAATCATGGGCTGAAGCTCAGAGCTTCTGCGTAGCTATTGGAGGAGACCTGGCTTCCATTAGCAGTTTGAAAGAAGAACGTTCACTGCAGCGTTACTTATCGTGAGTAAACTATTCCATCTAGCTAGGGCTGGGCAGTTTGTGGAGCTCCAGATGTTTTGGCCTACAAAGTCAGCCATTCCTCACCGTTGGCTATACCGGCTAAGTTTGATGGGAGCCCTAGTTCAAAACTTTGGGGGTTACATCTAATCTATGCATCGCAATTCTTCCATTCTAAGAACAAATGGAAAAGTACCATTGAGTCCCATATGAAAGTCTATTTTTGTGGAAAATAGATTAGGACATACGTTTGAATTCTCACATCAAAAGGCACATCAACATTAATTCTGATCTGGTGACGATTATTATAACACAAACACAAAAGAAGGCCAAAAGAAAAATTAAACCATGGGGAAAATGTGACATTTCATATTGCTCGATCATCAAATATGATCGAGCATAATGACATAATTTTTAACATGACTCTTAACATTATCAGGACTGATTTTAAGGCTTCTTTCAATGCTTTACTATGTTTTTATTTGATTGTTTTATCTTCTGAATTTTTTGTCAACTGCTTTGATTGTACATGCACAATAAGCACACAGACTGAAAGGAAAATGCTGAGTTAGAGAAGAAAGCCTGATTTCAAATAAATGGGCCAGCAAGGTGACCTGAAAGCTAATTACCTTTCACTCACTTGGTGATAGTAATTATTAGTCATATCTGATATTTTCATGAGTTTCAACCTTTTGAGGAGCAATTATTCAAGGAAAGTGATTTATGAAACATCATGTCTCTTTACTATCCTTCAGGATACTTTTGTTTGTGTGATTTCTTAGGAACTATGGATTCAGCACTTCGCATTACTGGTTAGGTTTAAATTACATAAATCCGGATGAAGGATTCCAGTGGAGTGACGGGTCTCCAGTGAGTGGCTTACACTTTCTCCCAGTGTTTCTTTCTATTGTTCTTCCTACTTACTTGCCTAGGTGGGATTGCTGAACTGTGAGATGAAGTACCTAGATAATTTCACATTTTGAAATGAATTAGATTGTTGAATGCAAGTTTATCAAGAGCCTCTCATTTCAACCTGAGAGCTTGTTCCAACTCCAAATTATGTGAAATTGCATGCTTCCTGCACATTTTTTCTTTGCGGGAACACACACACACATACTTCACAAACATTTGAAGAAAATTCTGTGCAGTGGTTTTGTTTTTGTACAACAGTAGAAATGAAAACTGTTGTGGCACCTGAAATCTTATGCCACAAAAAATGTGTTACTTTAGTTTTTAAGATAACAAAAGACTTTTTGTTGTTTTTTGTTGCAACAAACTAGCAGGACTACCCCTGAGGAAAATAGCTTTCTCTGGGAGGAGAACATGAAAAACTTGAGAAAGTTTCTCCCAGACAGTCTCCTGAGAAATTCCTGAATGTTTTCTGTTTGTAGGATTTAAAAAAAAAATAGCTATCTGCAGTCATTTCTAAAGATGTGGAATTCTGAGCTCTCTCACAACTGTTTAAGGAGATGATAAGGCCTGTGTGTTCCAACAAAAGATAGACTACATTTTCCATCTTATTGACATCTTGTGTAGAGAGTCTCCATCCGAAGAGCTGCAAGATGGCCACATTTATATAATTTTAGCTAAGAAAGAGGCTGAGAATCTGCAATGTATATTTTTGGTGTATTTTTCACTTGCTTACATCCTACTTTTGCTTACCCATAGTATACCTTCAGGTTTTCTTTTTGCCAGTTTATATTCTATCAAAACATCAGAGGAAACAGCTATTTGGTTTCTTGTAAAATGGCAATGGAATCCTATTCATTTGTTTCTGCTATGTCATCCATATAGTCATTTACCACACTACTGCAAAAGTAGATTTAAAAGCAACCGGAAGCCCTAAAAATTATGCTGAGTAATACCTAAGTAAAAGTTGCACAGTTGTTCTCATTACAGAACAATGCATATATTTCAGATTTAATTTTAATAATGGGACTTTGGGAGAATTTTAAACATTCCGGATTTTAAAATTTTAATTTTCTCAGCATCTTACTATCACATAAGGTTGATCTGTATGCAAATTATATGACATTTGATTTTCCAGATCTAATACATTTGGTTTCATAAAAAAACTTGGTACAGGATTTACATTTTTACTTTAACTTTTCAGCTTGAGTTTCTAAAACCTTCAAGATAAATGTTGTTTATTTATTTATTAAACAAATATACTGCAGCCCATAGCCAATGCAGGGCTTTCAGGGAGGTGCACAATAAATGTTAGAGCTACTACTTACTTGCCTTGAACATTTTATCAAAATTGGTTAAACAGTAGAACTTTATGGTGAACATATGCTGTTGAGAAGTTGATATCAGCCATCTTGACTTCCATCTTTGTGTTCATGATCAGCATTACACTGATTCATCACCTCAAAGAGTCTCAAATCTTTGGAACTCTCCCTACCTATTTTATTTATCTATTTTATTTTGATCTATGTTGTAAGCCATCCAGAGATGCAATTAATGGATGTCATACAAATTTTATAAATAAATAAATAAATAAATAAATAAATAAATAAATAAATACCTATTGTATTCAGTGGATGCTGTATAATTGGAATCTATTTTGTAGCATAAGGAAATAGCCTTCTTTCCAGGCATCTAGGCTTTCCAGGCAAATGCATAACAGACTTATTTCTATATTAGCTAGGGTATACAAACTGGGAATATGGAGAACCCAATAATTATAATGGTGTGGAACACTGTGCAGAGATAAATGGAAACACTCGCATGCGCTGGAATGATGTGCACTGTGATGAAGCATATTACTGGATTTGCCAGGTCAAAAAAGGTAACGTTTCAAGTCATTTGTTGTTATATGCCATCCAATCATTTCCAATTTACGGCAGCTTGTGAATGAGCCCCCTTCAAATTGTCCTGCCCTTGATAGCCACGCTTACCTCATGTAGACTCAATTGACCCATTTTATACTTGGTCTTCCTCTTTTTCTCTCTTTGACTTTCCTAGTATTATTGTCTTCGTGTCATGTCCTATTAAGCCATAACTTCATCAGAAGATTGCTTGTAAGAAAGTATCACACAACTAATATTAAAACATATTTTAAAACAAATCAGCATTTTAACTGATTAACTCCAGTAGCTTTTGGAATCTGAGACATTAGCTATCTTCTGTATATCAGAGAAACTAAATGGGGATAATTCACTGTCATCACATTCAAGCCACAAGAAGCTCCGTCATAATGCTTTACTAAAATGGACAAAGATATGCATGAATGCGATGGTTGCAGTGTTACAGCCAGCCAGAAGGTGGCTGGGGAACTCTGAAATACTCTTAGGTGCAGCTCTGCCAGTGGAAAGGATGACCCCCAAGTTCTTGGGGGATGGTACAGTCATGGTATTCTCTATTGTGCGGTGGGGAAGGAAACAGCATACTGGGGATGTAACAGGGCGAGTCTTAGATCCAGAGCATCAAAATACCCCTTATGCCACTGATACGCCCCAAAGCATTGTGAACTGTGTCAGATCTGGAAGTGACATAGTCAGTTTCCTTCCTGTTGATGTCGATGGTAGAGAAACAGGGAAAATCTCATTCATGGGGAACAAACCACTTCCTGCTTTCACAGAATCATAGAATAGTAGAGTTGGAAGGGACCAAGAAGGCCATCGGGTCCAACCCACTGATGTTTCAGGACACCAGTTAACACCATCCCACTCAGATGGCTGTTTTCAGGGCTGTTTTCTGACTGAGAAGCTGGGACTCTTGACTCTGTCTAGGGGCTATATGATCATTTGGTGCAACACTGGTTTAAAAATGAGAGTTTCAGCTAGCATGATGTATTAGTGTGATGTTAAGCGATATGCTGGTTTTAATGCAATAACCATGCTATATTATTTTCCCCCTAGGAATACAGCTAAAACCAGAACCTACAAATCCACCTTTGCCAAGTAAGTTTGCATTAAAGGAAATTGTACTGCATGCTTGGGATGCAATGGGAGCCAAATTAAGGTTGCCATTTCCTAACACTGAGAAGGGTCCCACTTTGTCATAGGAGCTGCAGTGCAGGCATCCATTTCTCAAGCACAGCTTCTTCTTTGCTAGTCTCTCAGTGTCCAAGCTAGATAAGACAGGGACTGGTGCCTTGTCTCTATCCCACTCACATATAAAGTAAGTTTGAAATGATCTGTTTTCACATGAAACCCATCCATCTCCTGGGCCTTACTTCACTATAGCATTTCCTCCTGACAAATCTGATACAGGGCATGAATCAGGATGGAAGAAAATTCCTTCAAGCCATGTATCCTGCCTTACTTCCTTTGCGGAACAGAAGGTGGCTATATGCAGTTCCCAGTGAGACTCCTGTCCAACCACCAGCCCAGACTGTTTAGCTTCAGGAAGGTGGCATTTCACAGAACATTGTTTGAAGCGCTCTTAACCTGTGGATCAGAGATAAGGGACCAGCGGGTGGGACACAGATCCACCATCCTTGGAATAGACAGTGGTTATTACGTACAGAACACAGAAACTGAGGATGATGACTTATCTTACAACTTGCATTCTTTCTGGTGCATGGCTGCATTTTTAAGCAGCCCAGCTTAAATAAAAGGAGTGTTTCTGATCTCAGGATATTACTGTCTCTTTTGTAGAATTCCAGCTTACTATTGATGGCTGGCTCGTCAATGGGGATAAGCAGTATTATTTCAACACTAATAAAATGCCCATGGATAAAGCACGGGAGTTTTGCAAGAAGAACTTTGGGGATCTAACTGTCATCGAAGGCAACACAGAAAGAAGGTTCCTAACAAAATATGTAAGCCCTCATTATTATCTCTGGCATAATAAAATTCTCAGATGCAAACCTGGAATCCTGTAAGGCTCTAGCCTTCATCAAAATTTTGTTCACAAATCTAATACTCCAGAAATTTGGCCATAGAATTTCATGTTCTCATCCTTCAGTATCAGGGAGTAAATGTTTAAATGATATGTAAGTTAGTGTCTTCGTTTCTGTGATATGTTATGTTGTAAGACACACTTCAAATAATGGTAGAAAAGTTGCAAAAAGACAGTTTCTTGTGTCTGGGTGGGTTTGCCTTAACATTTGAACATTTGAGACTATATCCAAAAATATAGCCTATCCCAGGGGTGGCGAACCTATGGCAGGCATGCCAAAGTGGGCACGCAGAGCCCTCTCTGTCGGCATGGGAGCCAAGATGCCCCAGGACCTCACCAGCAGCTGAGCATCAAATAGCAGCACACACAGGGGCCATGCGCATGCTAGGAAAGCAGTAACGGTACCAGGTGATGACATCACAAGCCACGACTCATCAGAGCTTCACATGGCCAGTCAGTGCGCTGCCAATTATATATATATATATATATATATATATATATATATATATATATATATTTGATTGGACTGAGTGTGAGCTGTTTCTTCTAAACTAAAATCTCAGTTTTCAGGTTTTATTGCAGTGTTCGCACTTTGCGATATATAAGTGGATTTTGGGTTGCAGTTTGGGCACTTGGTCTATAAAAGGTTCACCATCACTGCATTAGGGTTAGAAAAACAAGGTGTTCTGGCATGATTTTGATAGTTGGAATGTGCTTGGAATGGGAAGAAATGATGAGCTGTGCAGAAAAAGCTACTCAAGGAAGGCTTTTTCATAACCACCCTCTTTTCAATGGAACTATAGCCCTCTATTAGGGTTAGGGGTGTGCACCAGGGTAGGATTAGGGTTAGAAAAACGAGCAGTTCTGGCATGATTCTGATGGCTGGAATGTGTTTAGAGTGGGCAAAAATGATGAGCTGAGGAGAAAAAGCTACTCAAGGAAGGCTTTTTCAAAACCACCCTCTTTTCAATGAAACTATAGCCCTCTATTAGGGTTAGGGGTGTGCACCAGGGTAGGGTTAGGGTTAGAAAAACGAGTGGTCCTGGCATGATTCTGATGGCTGGAATGTGCTTGGAATGGTAATAAATGATGAGTGGTGCAGAAAAAGCTACTCAAGGAAGGCTTTTTCAGAACTGCCCTTTTTTCAGTGGAACTTTAGCCCTCTGTTAAGGTTGGGTTGTGCATGGCTGAGCTGAGCAGGATAGGGCACTTCAAAATTGGGGGAGGTGGTCTTGCCCTTTTAGAGAGCACTCCTAGCACTGGTGTTTCCCTCTGGTTTTGCCATTACTGGAGAAACTATCTACTTAAGTTAAATGGACGGATTCCTGAAGGCCCTGGGGGAGTTTCCAGCTGACAAGACTGGTGCTCCTGTCGAGGCTCTGGTCGAACTAGGGAATGGGGAGATGACTAGGGCTGTTGATATGGTTGCTCCTAAGCGTCCTCTCCCGCCAGGCGGAGCCCACTCTTCCCCTTGGTATACACCTGAATTGCGGGCGATGAAGCAGGCTGGGAGATGGCTAGAGCGTAGGTGGAGGAGATCACGGGATGAATCTGACTGAACACACTTAAGAGCCCATTATCGGGCCTATGCTGTGGCGGTGAGGGCGGCAAAAAAGAAATTCTTTTCCGTTTCCATTTCCTCCTCAAAATGCCATCCGGCGGAGCTTTTTCGAGTGGTACAAGGCCTGGTCCGCCCTGGCCCTAAGAAAGATCTGGTTCCACCCTCGCAGGCCCGCTGTGATGACTTTGCCAAGCATTTCAGGGAGAAATTCGCTCAGATTCGCTCAGATTCGTCAGAAAATCGCTCAGATTCGTCACAAGCTAGACTCTACTAGTGAGTCAGAGGCTTCTGGGGAGATACCAATGTCGCTGTCTGGTCCAAAATTAATGGATGAATTTCAGTTATTGCGGCCTGATGATGTGGACAAGGTGCTTGGACAAGTACGTCCCACCACTTGCCTATTGGACCCTTGCCCGTCTTGGTTAATAAACAACGCCAAGCACGGGATTGGGACCTGGATCTTGGAAGTGGTTAACGCTTCTCTGAGGGAGGGTCCGGTGCCTGCCCCTTTAAAGGAGGTGGTAGTCCGACTGGTCCTGAAGAAAGCATCACTGGATCCAGAGATGGCCACTAATTATAGGCCAGTGGCCAACATCCCGTTTCTGGGCAAGGTGTTGGAGCAGGTGGTGGCAAGACAACTCCAAGCACTCTTAGATGAAACTGATTATCTGGACCCATTGGTGTGGGCTCCGGAATCATCAGTATGCTGATGATACCCAGCTCTACCTCTCGTTTTCCACCAATCCAGGTGAGGCAGTGGCTGTTGTGAACCGGGAAGCCAGGTAGACGTGAAGCCCACCCCCCCTCCGCCGCTGCAAAGGGCGCTTTCTACTCCCCCCACCTTTAAAAACATTCTGAAAAACATTTCTGCAAAGTTCCAGTTTGGCACAGACATTCTCCGCAAGGGCATTAAGGGAACGGCATTAGGAAGTGAGATTTGTTTCCCAAATTAGTTTCCTGATGGAATTTGTCACAGAAATTTGCAGAGCACAAAAGCATGTGAATCCCTTTTTATCCTCATTTTTTAGATCTCAAAAAATAACCAGGTGGATTCTTACTTCATTGGTTTACAAGTGAGCCTTGATAAGAAGGTTAGGTAAGTTAAATGGAAAGCTTCGCTTTTTATTCACGCAAAGCATTTTTGCCACCCTTCAGCTCAACGCAGCTCGCCGGAATCACTCAGCCCTTGCCTTCAGGCTCACAGTGCAGAGAGACACGCAAGAAATGAGGAGCAGGGAAAGCACAACAGTGATGCTTGATTCAGTTGCTCAACTGACCGATCTACTGAACTCAGTTCGCCCTGCATTTCTAATCTGTCTTGGCTGGCCTGACCTTTGCTGGCTGTTCTCGTTTCATTTCTTCCCTTCTGCAGTTTTCCTTCTTTTGAGTTCAGGCCAGATTTATTTCTGCTCTTTTATCCAGAGGACAAGATGTTTCTTGTCCATGCAAGAAACTTGGCATGCTAAGCCGCTAGGGTATTTGTGTGCTGTCTGAGCACCCCCCACCCCGCTTCCAGGAAGGGGTTTAGAGGGTTCACTGGGATGACCTATAAAGCACCCCAGCCAGACATGTCTTGCAGTGGGCTTCAGTAAACCCCATTCATCATCTGGACCCAGATGACTATCCAGACCTGGAAGGCAATCGAGCCCCTGGGCAAGAGTGGCAAGGAAGGGTGGGCCAAAATGACCTGTCCCGCTCCCAAGCAATCCACTCTCCTTGCAGCAACAGGGATATGGGGAGGCCCCCAGGCTGTTGCCTGCTCAGTCGGGGCTGGAGAGAGGAGGAGCTGCTTGGCTGAGGAAGCGAGGCAGAAGGCCAGGGGAAGCAACCTCCTGGCCAACAATCCCTGCAAGCTGCAAACCATTCTGCCAAAAAGTAACATGCTTATTTGCAGTTAGCTTTTAAAATGTTCTGTTTTAAAAAAGTAAGGCCAGGTGACACAAAAATCCTTGGCACAGCATCGGAAGGTGCCTTCTGCTGAGCCAGACCATGAGTTCATCTGGCCCAGTGCAGTCAACTCTGACTGGCAGCAGCACTTCAGGATTCCAGGCAGCTCCCCAGCTCTGTCTTGAGATGCCAGGATGGAGCCTGGATCCTTTTGCAAGCAAAGGATGCTCCCAGCCACAAAGCCAAAGTAGCCTATAAACCTTCTGCTGAGTCTGTGAATATCAACCAGTTCTGACAGATGGAGAAAAAGAAACAGCTGGTTCCTGATTTCCAAATTAAGGCACTGGGAAAATGAAGAGTTAGACCTATGAATCAAGATTTGGATTCAAATCCAGACTGAAGCAGGTGGCCTCAGAATCAGTCTGAGCTGAACTGGATTGTTTTCCAAAACACCAAATTGGGCTCTGAACCAAATCTTGTGGTCTGTCAACAAAGTTTTAAGTATTTTTAGACACATATTTTAAGTCTGTTGAATGCAATGTAATGGGGTTGTTTTTCTTCAAGCTGGATGGATGGAACCCCTGTGCAATACGTAGCGTGGGCACCGCATGAACCCAATTTTGCAAACAATGATGAAAACTGTGTGGTCATTTACAAAAATACAGGTGAGTGACTTGCCAGTGCACAATAGATTTTCCTTTACCTGCCACAGTAGATACTTGCCTAGGCTGCCTTGCTGCAACAGGTAGCGTGGCACCCTAGGACCAACCCTCCCTGCCCTCATCTGAGTGTTTCCGGAACCTCTTTCGATGTGTCTGTGCCCACCTGTTCCCCTGCTCTTGATGGCATTGGCTGAATTGTGGTGATAATTGCAGTGACCTAGGTGAGGCTCCCATTGGCTTACCTGCTCAATTGGAAAGACTACCAATGTCAAACTGGAGTGATAATTCATCATGCAGTCCTATGCATGTTGAGTCTGAAGAAGTCCTGCTGAATTCAGTGCCAGTGGTTTGCAGCTCCAAGATAATTTCTTCATGAGAATAGCTGCTGATGGATCTGGAGGGAATGATAATTAATTCAAAATAAGTTGAGAGAAGAATCTAGTGCTGGAAAGAATTATTTTGAATATCTGCTGCCAACATAAAAAGGAGCACATAGAGTAGGACATTTCCAGAAAAAAAAATTGGTTTCTGTTTTCAAAGGGTAAATGGTATTCCTGAATGCAAGGCATAGGTTGACACTGCAATCCTACACACACTTGGGAACGAGCCTCACTGGACTAAGTGGGGGTTTGCTTCTAAGCTGACATGCGCAGGATTCCAGGGCAACTGTTTTAACAGATACACTAGTCAACCTTGTATGTGTATTAAGTCATAGCTCAGTGCCATGCAAATAAGCAGGAATGAAGTGGCATTTTGGGGTGCTGTTCCCTCCATCCCCTTTCTTTCTTCCAGCTGCCCAGCATAAAGCATGGAAGCTTTTGCTTGGCTATGGTTTATCATGTCACCTGCATCATTCTCAAAACTGCTTAGAACATGCAAGGGGGAGAATACAGGCTCAAAGCTTGCTGTGGGTTCCTTGCTTGTTCATGCCACACTAAAGTATAGAGTGGCATGCAAAAAAATGTGCCCAGTACTGTATGTGGCATTCATTTACAGCAAACTGCTTCCATTTGATAACATTTTCTCTCATGTTCAGGTCTTTGGAATGATATAAACTGTGGTTATCCAACACCTTTCATATGTGAAAGGCACAACAATTCAGTAAATGCAACAGTTGCTCCCACGCCAGTTCCTGTTCGAGGAGGGTGCCCAGACTCATGGCTTCTGTTTGAAAATAAGGTACCGTTAAAGTTTTCTTGTTTCATGCCAGAACCAGGAAGCAAAGGACCATAGGAACATGCACGTGTGCTAGCATAAGCTGGGAGACTTTGCTTCTTCCTTCCTTCCTTCCTTCCTTCCTTCCTGTCTGTATTTGCAAATGCTTCTTGGCAGATAATTACAGAAACTCTAGTGAGATTATTATGACTTTCACAAGGCAGGGGCACATGGAATGGTGACTGCATTGATGGTTCCGTTTGATCTCTGTACTACTAGTTGCTCTTGCCAATTGTAAACTATTATCCATCTTTTCTATATCCCCATACGAGCAACAAATACTTGTTGCAGCAAAAATGTGAATAAAATGTTAAGGGATGCAATGCAGGAAGGAATCGAAGAGGAAGAGAATGATTTATTCAGTCCAGAAAAAGAACTGACTGGGACTCTAACCTTTGAATTTAGTATTTAGATACTTTAATATGCAGGGGTAAAATGAATATATAGCTTGGAGGTTTACAGTGCAATCCTATGCATGTTTAGACAGAAAAACGGCCTATGAAAAAAGCACAGCAGCTGGCTGGGACATTGTGGAGGTGCAGGCCTCTTTTCGGCTAAATGGGCACAGGTCTGCAGTCTCAGTAGCTTAATCGGAATAGCAAGTTTAAAGCAGCCATGGTTATAATACAATGCAAATATTTTCACAAGGAAAATGTGTAGAGTTATATCATCCTTGCTGTGTAACACTGAGCTGATAATTCACCTTTTCTTTACTCTGTTGCAAGTGTGTATAACTCCAATTTGGACTGGGGCCACCAGGTGCTGGGAAGACAGGATTAAAGCTTCCCCATACATGGTTTCCTTTTTGAAGTCAATGGTGCTAGGAGAGACTTTTGTTGTTGCAGTTAACCCTCTCCCTGGTGGGGTGGAGGAGGAGAGAATCTGGCGATGCAAACAGTGGGGAAGATAAGGCCTACTTCCACTGTCCCAGTGTATGGTGGTTCTGATCCATATTGGGTCAGTGCATGCTGATAGGGTAAAGAAGAATAAGGTCCTGCAGTATTCATTTAGTGTATTGTGTAGTTTGGGTCTTAAAATTTCATGCCTACAGCTTGGATTATAGAATGGCAGCCCTAACATTAAATTTCAGTGATCTGTGGATCTGTAAATATATTTGGATTATTTCTTAAAGTGCATTCTTCCCTTTTTGTTGTTTAAAGTGTTACAAAATGTTTGGGTTTAAAGCAGAAGATCAAAAAACTTGGGATGCTGCACGAACAGCTTGCCAGGGCTCTGAAGATGGAGGCAACTTGGCTACCATACCAAATGAAAAGGTTCAAGGTACAGTGCCTTATGTCTGTCAGTGAAAGCTCAGCTGATAGCAGCAAAGAATCTCTTCACTTAAACTGTGATTTTCTAGTTTTTGGAGTGGTGAACAATAAAAGATAAAACACATAAGTTAACAAAACAGAAGTTAAAGACAAGGTTGATAAAACTGTGTGAATGAAACCATAGCTGGTTAGATCAGGAGGGTTTCCTGAAGTAAAAGCATTTTCCAGAGGCACTAGAAATAACACTGTTTGGGGTCTGCATGACTTCAGTAGATGGAGTTCCAAAGAAATGGAGCCACTAAGCTGAAGGCTGTTCTCCAGGTGTATGCCAATTGGGCCAGAGGTCCATGTGGATACCAGAGACACGCCACCTGATGATCTCAGTGACCAGGCAGGTCGATAAGGAAGGAAGCTCTCTCTTGGAAATCTGATATGCTGTTAATCATCCTCCATTGATTGCATGTATATTACAAAAATGCATTTGAATATATATAGCTAGATAAGAAAAAGCCTACAAAATGTTATTAAAAATTTGAGCACCATCAAGGAATTCATATGGACACAATGCTAAGCCCTAGTTTGATTCTGGTTTTGATTTCTGGGAAACTATGGTTTATACAAACCATTGTTTGTGGGACTGAAGCAAAGCAACAAACTATGATTTGCCACAAACCATGATTTACTGTACAGCAGTAAATGTAAATGGAAGCTTCTACTCTCTTCACCTTATGCCAAAAGAACATGAACATGCACAGGGAGCACATGAACTTACAAATATGCACATAAACACACAGTCTGTGTATGTAATATGCAAACAAAGTGTCAAATTTTATAGTTTAAACCTTTCTTATACTATTTTCTTTCTATTCAAATGCAAAATTCAAATTGTTTCCCTTTCTTCTAGCTTGTTTCACAATTGTTTGTAAGATTGTTTGAATTATGTCCCAGAATGTGGCTGAATCAACTTTCTTCCTCTCTGTTTTCTTTTAGCCTTCCTCACGTACCATTTAAATAATTTGCCAATGGATGCATGGATAGGATTAAATGATATCAACCAAGAGCAAATGTACCTCTGGACAGATGGAAGTGGACTCCACTACACAAACTGGGCTGATGGCTTTCCATTGACTGGATATGAAGGAGATCGGGTAGGCAGTTGATTACATATTATTGCTAGCTTTATTGCACATGGGAATGCTGCTCAGCGCCTTTCTCTTGTGTCTTTGTTCAACAAACCTCTTCTGCACCTGGGCTTGGAAGGCAGAGCCCTGCTGGTGGGATTTTGAGCAGGAGATAGTTGTCCCTCCTAGGACCAGGGCTTTTGGAGGCTCGCAGGTAGGGGGATAAGAACCTTTCCAAAATGAAACATTTATTCTGTTCTTGTCATTCTGTACCCACTATTGTCTATGGGCAGTTTAGACAATGTCATAGCCCTCCTGTTTCACTTCTGTGTGACATTTAATTATAAAAGTGAAAGAAAGCACAATGTCTTATGGGGAGTTTGTACAGTGTGACCCATATAGCAGAAAAGTAGGAAAAGAAACTGCCCTGGTGTCATGCCTCATTCAACAAAATTGAAAGGAGATAAAGAGGATTTAAAGTGGATCAACAGCTTCATGTGAACAAACAAACTACCCTCAAGAGGCAAGGAGAGCAAGTAGGCCAGCAAGTAGGGCCAGCCTTACCATAAGGCGGGATGAAACGAGTGCCTCAGGTGGTAGTGACCTCCCAGCAGTTAGGAGGAGTGATTGGTGGATGCCACACAACTTCTGCTAGGCCTTCTGAATGGGCCTACTGCCTCGGGTGGTGGAGGCAACACTGCCCATGTTGAAGCAAGAGTCAACTGCTGGTCCAGCTGGCTTTGGTACATGCTAAAGGGAGGGGTTTGCCTTTGTTTCAGGCCACAAAATGTCTCTGGCAGACCCTACTGGTAAAGCATTTTGACTATTTCCCAGCTGAAGAGCAAGTCTGATCCAGAAACCTTTGCAACCCTACTATGTTAGAGGAATCCAGTAGACTTCCTGTGTGGGTGGAATTAGTCCAAAGCATGGGAATATTCTTGCTAAGACATTGCATAATGGGACTTGCAAGGAGCAATGGAGAATTTCATGATTCTGTCTCTGATGGTTCTTGGATAGTTGAGGAGAAAAAGAATGCTTTCCATACTATTTTCAATCTTTGTGGGGTTTATCTTTATATAGGATGACTGTGTTGCAATTAAAATTAGGCCTTCTAAAGAAGCAGGGACATGGAGACATTTTCGCTGTTCTTCTTCAAAAAGTTACATCTGCCAGGCTAATACAAGTGAGTATCTGTTTCCTGGGCAGCCCCTCCTTCTACTGTAAAGTCAAATTTCATACGGATCCTAATTAAACTTTAATCAGTACTTGCTGCCAGATAAAGAGATGATTATTGGCCTCCTAGAATAGCTTTAGAACAGTGCTTCTCCACTTTTGCCAGAGGAAGTTTATTTATTTATTTAAAACATTTGTATGCTGTCCAGCTGGGCCACAGCACCTCTGGACAGCTCAAATCACAGGATAAAAACACAATAAAGCACAATAAAAACAAATAACACTGTTTAAATGTTTTAAGTTCAAAATGTGCAATTAACAGTGGAGTCCTAGTCAAACCTTCTTGGAGATGAGCCCCTTGGTGTTTAATGGTCCTTACTCTGATGTAAGCGTGCATAAGATTGTAGCCTGAGCAGAGGTAGTTGGCAAATGGTGCAGAAAACTTAGTAGGCTAATTTGGTTGATGTCAACTTGGCCGTCCAAGATCTTAGGCAGGAGTATTCCCAGCTATTCTTAACTAGAAATGCCAGGAATTAACCTGGGACCTTTCCCATTCAACGTATTTGGTTCTAGCACCAAGCTATGCCTTTCTTACTTGCATACATAGGACAGCTTGGCACCAATGCAGGTTGGAAAGTAATGGCAAAATGGCTGTCCATTCTGTATCAAAATTTCTTCACTTTCCAAAAACTTCAGTGCAGTGAATTTCCATTTTATCCAGCCTCCATATGGTTACAACACAGAGTTGTTTCCCTCCCTCCTTTCTCGCAGTTTGTGAAATAGCATGAAAGAAAGAAAGAAAGAAAGAAAGAAAGAAAGAAAGAAAGAAAGAACTGCATTATATTTAATTTTCCTCTTGCTTCTGTAGACCCCAAATATTCTCTTCCTCCATCAACCACACCAGCACCTCGTATCCGTTACAATAATAGCAGCTATTTTTTCATTGAAACCAAAATGACATGGAAGGATGCTCAGTTGATCTGTCAACGACAAAACTCAGACCTTGCTAGCATTTTAGATCCATTCAGCCAGTCACTCCTGTGGCTGCAGGTGTCAAAATACAAAAGCCCTCTATGGATTGGCCTCAACAGCAATGTGGTAAGTGCATCTTATATTGGTCCAAAGAATAGCATATATTGTTTTTTTGAATTATTTGACTCAGAACACTAAACAGTATGCAGTTAAAGTCAGATAACAGGTTACATCTTTAGTTCAGTTCAAATGAAGACTAGATAAATGGGATAAGCATTACGTACATCTGTATATACGAGTACCACGTCCTGTAGTGATACGGAGTTGGATCCAGAGCTATGCTGGATCACCTGTGCTGGCACAAGTCAATCACACTGACTTCCCCACTCGTCTTCTCAGAGTAGCTCCCTCCAGCTATACAGTGGAGCTATATAATGCTATACAGAACATCAGGAGACATCCATGTGGGAGTGGGGGAGCTGACCCAAAATTGTGCAAAGAGACTTGGTATGAACCAAGTTTCCTCTCATGAATCCAGTCCTTCTCAACCCAATCCAAAATGTCTGAAGGTGCTTACTAACTTTTAATGGACAGTGGAAGCATTTGAAAACCATTTGTGGTTCTGAAAGGACCTGTCTTTATTTATCTACATATTGTTACCCACTCTTTGGAACCCCCCCCCAAAAAAAAAGGATCCCCAGGGTGGCTTACTAAGGTAAGTGATCAGAGAGTCCCTGTCTTTGGACTGAAACTGCTGTGCAAGCGAGGGGATGAAGCTTCTGCCAGATACTCACACTCCAAACCAGAGGATGGCAGCAGGGCTGGCCAGGAGGGCCCTGAGTAAGGTACAGACTGCCCTACCCAAAGGACATGGCCTGAGCCTCAGCCTCATTGCAATTCTCAGCTGGAATTGCCAGGGGGCTGAGAGGCCTGAGGACTGGAGCTCAGGACGGTCAAGAGCCGACTTTCCAGCTTGGCTGTCAACTGTCCCACTTCCTCCTGACATAGAGACGTCTTGCTGTGGAATGGCTTGCCTTGTAACAGCATCAACTATGCCATATCCAAAGGTGCAAACTTGGATGGAGAGTTGATGCAAGGTAGGATAGGCAGAATAAATGCACACTGTATCTTTGTTGAGCCTTGTTACTGTTGCTCTTATGTGCTGTCATCTTGGACTTATGGCAACTCTGTGAAGGAAAGCATGTCCTGTTCTTGACAGCTTAAATGCAGGGCTGTGACTTCCTTTATGGAATTAATCTACCTCATATTTGGTCCTCATCTTCATCTCCCACCTTTGACTTTTCCTAGCATGGTTGTCTTCTACAGTGACTCTTGCCTTCTCAGGATGTGCCCAAAGTGTCAGTTTTGTAAGCTTTGCTTCCATAGTTGAGCTTTTGGGCAATTAAAGAGCTCATTCTGGGTCTTTCCAAGTAATATATTTATCCTTGAATAAGTATTATTGGGTGCTGCTATTTACATAAACAATATCTATACCCAGTAGTACTTACAAAGGTCCATTTATATATGATATTCCAGTTTGGAATATATGAACTTTGTTTGGTCTGTAACAATCCAGGCATCATGGATACAATCCAATATTGACAGATGGTGCCATCCTCATTTGATTTGAATCTTGGCTGCTATCAATGACTGGACTGCAAGAATTATTCCCTTGTTGCATGAGAGAAATAAACATTACTAGACCCAGCTTGATCCCTGTTAGAGCAACTGCCACTGTGGTGTTTCCTAGACTTTGACATTTTTAAAGTCCAATAAATCCCCTCTTGCTTCCAAATCTTTGAGGATGAGCTCAAGAAACAGCTTCTGCAATCTGTTTCCTATTTCAGTGGCATTCACAACTTCAATTTGAGGTTTGGTTTGATAGAGGTTTGGCTTTAACAATAAGGCTGATGATGGTTCCTAGTATATTAAATGAGGGCCTATGAAACAACTTCAAGTTTTTAAAACCTTACTAGCACAAAAATAGGGTGAATAAAAGAGGAGAAGGCCTCCAGTTCTCACAACCAAACTTCCTTAGAAATACAGAACATGGAAACAGAAAAAAAGCGAGTCAGAAGGGGTCTCCCGGGCTATCCCCAACATGTGTTCGTCCAATCTTTCCATGAATGCCCTCACTGATTGGGCCTCAACCACTTCCCTTGGAAGCCCATTCCATATCCTAGGGGTCCTAACCATCAGGAAGTACTTCATAACTTCCAACCTGAAGCCTGGTTCCTTGAGCTTGCCCCATTGGAATGCATCCTGCCCCCCACTGCAGGGAAGAACAGGTCATGGCCTTCCTCCACATGACATCCCCTCACTAAAAGATCCCCTCAGAGTCTCCTTTTCTCCAGGCTGAAAAGACCCAGTTCCCTCCATCTCTCCTCATATGTCATCCCTCCCAACCCAGCTACCATTCTTGTGGCCCTGCGCTGAGCTGATTATAACCTAGCTATGTCTCCTATAATGTGGAGCTCAGAACTGGATGCAGTACTCCTGTTGTGGGTGCACCAGAGCCATGTAGAGCATTATCAACACCTCCCTAGATCTGGAAACCACGCTTCTGGCTATATAGCCAAGGGTGGCATTTGCCTTCTTAACCTTCCTTGCAAGTTTGTGGGCTGGGTGAATTGAGGCTGGAATGGGTGCATCCTAAAATGGTTGTGTGAACACACCATCAGTTAAGTCCATGCCACATTTACTTTATTGCTATAAGCAGCCTGCCAATTGAGCTCCTGGTGGTGTAGCAAAGTTCTGAACTGGATGCTTGCTGACGTGATCATGCGACATGCCTAACTGAGCTTAGCCAAGCCAAGCCACACACAACCTGCCTGCTCAATCTAGTTTGTGCAAAGGATTGTACCTGTCAGTGAGTCCGTCACCAATGCTTCTTATTCACCCTGTGTTAATTTTAGACTGATGGGCAATATACCTGGATTGATAAGTTCAAGTTCAAGTACACTAACTGGGCTTCAGGAGAACCAAAACAAAATTTTGGTTGTGTTTATCTGGACCTGGACGGAATGTGGAAGACAGGGTCATGTGAACAGAAATATTTCCCACTCTGTAAACATTCAGATGGTAAGTCAATGGAGAGCAATGGTTTTAATCCCTCGCTGGTTATTCAGGCTATTGTAGCCCCTCATCTGCTAGATTTTCAGGCCATTTTGTAAGAAACAGTGAGGTTTCTGCTTTTTAACATAGCTTTTCATTCAGCAGGCATTAAACAAGAAAAACATTTTTTGAAGGGTAGCCCCCTTTCAAAAATGATCCAGCACCATTGCCATGGTAGGACTGAAGGCCAAACTACACATGCTAATAACTTCTTAAAATGCAAATGCAGTCCAAGGTGGCTGGAAAGGGGACTTAACCCCACAAGGCCAATGCTGGATCAAGGCTTTTCTGCCTGAGATAAAGGGAAAGCTGGTTTTCCCCGTGGTGGATTTGGATGGGCAGGCTGATGTTGAATGTGCTTTTCTGTGGACCTCAGGTGTGGAGGGAAGATTCAAGATGGCAGCAAGTGGAGAATGACTTGTCTGGGCCACCCCACTTGCAAAATCCTGCCAATGAAACAGAGTGAATGTACAAAAAATTCTCACCTGGGAGCTCCCCAGGATGCTACCCAGAGGCATACAGAATGCTTCAGGTATTCTTACCTGAGACATCTCCCTAGAAGACCTCACAAACACCTTTACTGGTTTCTCTCTCCTTGCTATGCATGTTACTATGTAAACCAATTTCTCTAGTAGTCTTTAATTTAAGATACAATCAAGACTACAGTCATGAAGTAGAGTGTAAGCTGAAAAAATAGTCAGCTCTATCGCATTTCTCAACCATGCTTTCAGGACATCCCAGTTAATTACTGGTAACACCGGAAGTGTACTAGTGCCCCTACATATGATGAACTTACCGCTGTCAGAATCGTTAGAGTTCCTCATGTTAAAGGCATAATTTTATTTAAAGCAAAAAGTTGGTGGAAATGTGTTTCACTTAAAAATTACACTTCCTTCTTCTTGTTTTAAAACAGTGAAGCCACCTACAGAACCACCTCAACTTCCAGGAAGATGCCCAGAATCACTGGAGACACCTTGGATTCCTTTCCGTGGCCACTGCTACCACTTTGAGTCCTCATCCAAGATGAACTGGGCTAAGGCATCTTTAACTTGTTTGCAATTAGGCAAGTACTGCTAGTCTCGTCAGATGTAATATGATAGTGCAGACAAGTTATATAAGAGCTTGGATTCACAGTTATGCTGAGTATAGCGCTGCTGACTCAGTGAGACGGAAACTAATAATTAAGTGAATGCCAAAGGTTCTGATGGCAAAACCAGACATCACTTTACAGGCATAGGTGGAAGCTACTCCTTTTTCATTTTTACACTAGAGGAGGTACAGGGACCTTATGCTAGAGTAGGCACAATGATCTACATTGGTATTGGGGGACAGGGGCAATTCAACCAGCTTTCCCCTACTAGTGGCAGAACAATAATCCATAAATAAATACTAGGGGTTCCAATCGATATTGGGAATCCCAATGGACGCTGCACACAGAACAGCATCACCATGAAGTTAGTTTTATTTGTCCCCATAAAATAAAAATAAAAAGGTTCTTACGATCAAAGCCTCACTTAAATAATGTCATTTTTGTACTCTTACTGGTGTTTTGCAGGTGCCAGTCTGGTTTCAGTGTCTGATGCAGCTGAAGCACATTTTTTGACAGAAAATTTAGAACCCCTTGAAAGTAAAGCACCAACTTTCTGGATAGGAATGTACAAAAATCTGAAGGGTAAGTTTGTTGATTTGGATTTTAATTTCAGTGTTTGTATATGGAATCAGCAAATAGCTATGCTCAAAGGATTTGAATAATCTTAATGCCTATCATAGCTGGGCAAATTAAAGAAAAAATGTGGCCTTACTGTACAGTCTAAAAGTCTCCACTTTGACACATACTTTTGACACTTCGGAAGTAAAAAGATGAGGAAACTTCTCAGCCTGTAAAGCATATTTCAGATGATCTACGTTGTCATTCAATGCTAAATTAGTTTTGTGTAGGCATATCCTGCTTAATATATTAGCACAGTAGCCAGTACCCAGTTTATCAAGAAACACAAACAGTTAGTTCTGCCTTCTCCAACTGAAACCCTCCAGATGTGCTGGCCAACTCCAGTGAAGGAGAATCTCTTCCAGCCTAAGGACTTTATTCTGTTTCACACATTGACATAGCAAGCAGGGGTGAAGGCAAGGCAAAAAATACCTGTGAGGAAGACTTGGGAGAGAGAGAGTTCATCCTTCTAGACTTGGGAAAAAATCTTCACAAAAGCTGGGAAAGCAGTGAAAAATTGGTAGTTGGGGGAAAGTGATGTGACTGCTGAAGAATCCCAGAAGGCCATATTGTGGCTCCAGGAAGGCCAGATTTGGCATATGGAGCTAAGGTTCCCCACTTGGGACTATGTTGAATACATCTGGAGAGCACCAGGTTGGAGAGTGCTGAGCTAGACATTTGGATTTGCAGTGTAAATACCAGAGAATACATTTCTTTGCTTCTCAGTTCCACCAATTATGCTAAGAACTAGAGCCCAAAGCCAGTGCAAGTGTGATGTCATTTTATCCCATGTTGTTCTGTGAGAAGTACTTCATTTGAGAGAAAATGCATCTCTTATTGATCACAAATGGATACAAACTGCTTTTATTTTTTGTCATGTCTGATAGTGACTGAGAAGGGTGTAGAGCTCTGCAGGATAATCAGATTTGGAAGAAACAGCTGAAATTGTTAGAGGCCTTAAGGTCAGCAAAAATTTGTCTGAAAGCCCAAGAGTGTTTCACACATGGGGTTTGATATAGAGTTAGTCAAAGTAGCTCAACTGAAATCAGTGAGACTTAAGCAAGCCATGACTTAAGTATGACTAAATTTGGACCCATCGCTTGATGTTTTCTAATCTCAAGTGTCATAAATAACAGGCATAGTTCACTGAACTGATCCATAGAATCAGGAAATTCACCGTTAAATAGTCTTGTTTGACATAAGTGTGAAGCTACGAAGAGCTTCTCAGGAGCTCATGAACACAGTGTATTCTCTCCCTTAACATCAGGTGATTGGTTATGGCTTGACCAGAGTGCAGTAGATTTTGTCAACTGGAACACTGGAGAGCCCTCCTCACACAATAGTGAACACTGTGTGGAAATGTATTCTTCATCTGGAACTTGGAATAATGCCTATTGCTCTACCTATCTGGGATATATTTGCAAACAACCAAAAAGTAAGTAATATGTTTGATATTTATACTCTTTGTAGTAGATTCTATGAATTGGTTTCTGGATGATGTTCATTTGTTACAAAAAAGAAATGCTAGTTAAACGTGACAGACTTCCTAATGATTGCCCCTAATTATTCTTCAGCTTGGATAAAATCCAAGCTAGAGCTGAATTTCCAGTTTGCCCACCTCCCATCTACAAATAGATTCCCTTCCCCATAGTTCCAATCAATGGTGGTAGGTAGTTACTGAAAAAACAAAGGGAAGGCATTAAGACTCTGTAGCCCTGAAACCCTTTAATGGGCATGATGCATCAGCTCTCCTCAGAAGCACCCTGGGTACTGTTTTCCCTCACAGTTGGCTTTTGGGGCTTTGAACTCTTTTTTCTGCCCATATATAATGCAGTGGAAAAGGTTTTCCAGGTAGCTAAAATCATTGGAGCCTTTTGTCCTGGTTTGGGAAGGGGTTGAGGGAACAGTTTTCATTCTCTGCTCCATTCATGGAAAAGCATTGTCACCACTACTGGATCAGGTGGTAGGCAAAAATTGTTTAAGCGGAACTAGAGCTGGGACAGGAGTGGTAAGTGGGAAAGGTCAGAAACAGACTGCAGGAAGGAACTGGACAGACAATTTTGGAAGCTAGCTTGGCTCCAAGAATACGCCAGCCACAATATTTCCAATTATAGAGAATGTTTAAACTTGACAATCCAATGCGCCATGAACTGGGAACTGCAAAGAAATGATTGATATAAATTCAGAGCCAGTAAGTGGAATGTTTTCCCTAAATATATATTAGTGGTATCCATGTGTACGATAAAAGGAATTAGAACATTCTTTGATTCCATGCTTTTCTTCCAATTTGCAGTTGTGCCTACAAAGAAGACTGTGACTGAGAAAACTCCAGAAAAAAATAGTAAGGATTTTGCTAACAAAAACAAAAGTAAAGAAAAGTCAAAATGAGAAATACTGTCTGAAAATTATCTTTGGAATAGCAAATAATGCATAAAGAGCAAACATTTTCATTTCAACTTTTTTCATTTGCTTCTGATTGATGACCACACTTCTTGATCATTTGGTTGGTATGTGGGAATGGTGTTTTTGGTCTAAAAGATGAACTTTTGATACCACTTTCCTCCCCTCATGCCCAGTGGAACACCCCATTAAGCCCTCTCAAAAGTCAAGTTCTCAGCCTTGGAGAGGCAGTGAGTGTGGTTCTTCCCATGTTGGCTGTGGAGAGTGGGGAGTCCGAGCACACCTCCCTAGTTCCATCGCAAGAGCTCTGCTTCAGACCTTGAATCTGGGAATCCAAATGCCCCCTGAGGCTGCTTTGGAGCCACAGGATCACTCCCTAAAAGAGGAAGGTCCTTTAATGCATGGGTGGGGAGCCTGCAGTGCTCCAGAAGTTGTTGGACACCACCTTCTCTCATAGTGATTGGCAGCTGTAGTCTAGGAATCCCAGGGGGTGGAGGACCACAGGTTCTTCCCTCTACTCTAAACGCTTCTTATACTTGGGTTAGCAGAGCTTAGTGGATTAATAAGAATAGTCAAATAAGAACCAGGCAGAACCAGGCTCAAAATCTTTACTCCTTCAAAATGTTCATTGAATGTCACCGCATAGCAATGGTAACACGAAGAGGAAAGCATCTTGTAGGCTACTCAGAACTCTTTGGAGGAGGGCCAAGGTCCACACATAATATTATTAAATCCTGCAAACTTGTTGTTGTTCTGATCACTGTGCATTAATTTACAGGTCCAAAAAGGAGAGAAGGCACGCCAGAACCAACCAGTAACAAGGCTGCCGCTGTTGTCATCGTGGTGATCCTCATCATATCAGGAGCAGCTCTTGCAGGGTTCTATTTTTACAGGAAGAGGAATCGACAGATATTGACGGATGACAACTTTGAGAATTCTCTGTATTTTAACAGTGGCTCCAGTTCTGGGATTAGCGATACAAAGGACCTGGTGATGAACATGGAGCAGAATGAACATGCAACTATTTAGCTGAATGAAATATAAGCTTGTGCCTTGTTCTAATAAATATATTGAATTCCTGAAGCACTTTACCACAACTGATTGTCTTACCTTCATAAGAGAGTGATAAGAATGAGCCCATATGTTTCAGCATTTTTATTATGTACTAGAAGCAGCAATAACTCAGTTTCATGCTCCTAGTAAATCAGCAGCTTTGAATTCAGAATAAATAATGCTGCCATTTCCCTCTTGGCCAAAGCAGCTAGACAGGAAAAACTGTCAAATAACAGGAATTAGTTGATAGCATTAACTGGCAATCCATTCTCACATTCAAAATGCAGTCAAGGGGAATCATTTCAAGATGGAAATAAGTGCTAAGTTAATGACAACTATTTTCCTGTCCTGATATTTATCTTTGCACATTCAGAAAACAAAGGTTAAACAAAACAAAACAAAACATTCTAATGGGCACAAATCTATTCATGATTTGACATGATCTTTTGAGATATGTAATTGTTACATGCCTAGAAGGATTCCCACAGGGGTCTGAAGTGGCCTCATCCAGAGTTGAATCATGTGGCCCACCTGGTCCAGTCCTGTGTACCCTGGCAGTGGCTCTTTTTGCTTTCAGACAAAGATTTGTCCCAGCCCTGTTACATAAGGCTCCTTTCTCCATGCTTCTATGTTCAATCCTCTAATTAGACATATTACGGACTGAACTGGGGACTTCCATATACACAGCATGTGGTGTTCCACTAAGCAATGGACCTTTCAGTGATACGGCTCTACTACTTGGCAGGACTGGTGGGCCGTCTGAGCATAGAATGTTGCCACAGCAACACGGCTCAGATGGGCAGGCTTCCATTCACAGCAGCACACCTGATAAGGACTTATTGTGAGGTGTGTTTAGACAGAAAGACGTCTCCAACTCCCAGCATTCCCAGCAATGAGAATCAGTATTTCTGTAAAGCCTTTGTTTCAAGAGATCGGAAATGTTCTCTATGCCTTTGTTGTATATTTTAAACCTGTTGCATTTCCCTTCTCACAAATATGACTGGAACTGGTCATTGGTTGCAGTTAATGGGCTAAAGCAGGTCAGCAAATGCTTTTTCCTATAGAACAGGCCACGCATCTGAGGACTAATGGAGCGGGTTCTCCACACTTCCTCCTCTCCTCCCTGCAGCTCTCTATGCATGGCCCAAAATGCCCATTGGAGCTGATCTGGGGGCAGATGGGGGGCTGCAGGAAGAAGAACCAAGTCTGGCCCTCCCATTGGTGGAGCAACACAAATGGATACAAGCCATTTCTTTAATGTGTAGCTATCCATGTCTTTTTCTTCTTTTTAAAACAGGTGCGGGGCACCCCACTGGAATTGCAAAAGCTCCCTACCCCCATCCTGAGCAGGGCTGCTGTGCCTGCTTTAAAATTAAAATGGAGCAGAGACATGGCTGCTAAACAGATAGTTAAAGTAATGCCCATTTTTCCAACAACAGCACTATTGATGTATTTCATTGTTTGAACCTGTAGATCTGTGTGAGTGTGTAGAATGCAGAGGCATTTAATGGTTTTTCTCCCCTTAATATGGATGGGAAAAAACTCATGGTTTTATTGATGCCATTTTTGTGTCTCCTGGATAATAAACAGAAAAAGGTGGTGTCATTCGCATATTTAGTGTTGCTTTTGGGGTATTCTTAAGCTGGTTGCCATTTATGCATGCCAGATGAATGTAAAAACAGTTATAGGGATTCCAATATGAGAGTCGTCATCTTTTAAGGATTAGTCACTGTTTGACTCGAGTCTTGAGGCCTGCATCCTCTCGAGACCATCCATTCCTTGTGGTGTTTGGACCATCCCCACAGTGGTCTCCTTGCTATGAGGGCATTTCATTATCCTGGCAGGCCAGATGGGATGTTCCAGTAGCCCAGCTGGCTTCTGGCCTGTATTTCAAAGTTATTGTTACAATACCTTGCCAGTGTTTGTGTGAATGTGCCATGCACATGTGCCCTTGCTGTCTTCTCAGATGGGTATTCCTGTCATTTCAGCACCTCTAAGAATGGGCATCAGAAAATGTAGGTCTTGCCTGTGGGATCCAGTGCAAAAAAGCGACACAGGCATAGAAAGAAGTGGGGGTAAAATAATGTATTTTTATTTCAATTGCATGCACTTAGGAAGTGATCCTAACCCCGCAGATCAGACTAGAGAGTATTAAGTTGGGATGTAAATGCCACTCCACTGGCAGACAGCACTTCCAGCCTACCATACCCATAGAAATCTCCCTGGGTGTATATTTTCCACCAGCAATTGGTCCCCAAGTGGGTATCCAAGAATGCATTTGTGTTGAATTCACTGGCTCTCCTGAATCACATGGCCATTGCTCCTCCAAAAGGCCTTGCGATCAGGACCAGCTAAGGTATCCCTTTCTCCCCATTGGAATTTCTGTCATATAAAGGGAATTTCTAACAATTGACTTTCTGCTGGGTATTTTTTGCCAAGCCCTTTCTTCTTTCCTGACAGCATCAGCCAACAGAACTATGGAAGAATTTTTTTTAAGGACTAAGGATTTTTCATGAATACAGTTGAAGATGGAGTCATGACATCAGAAAGTGTTCTGGTGGGCAGCAAGGGAGAAAAGGTGGAAATTGTAACTAGGTGGTACAGGACAAGCTTTGCATACTAAAGATCTCCAGTTTGATCCCTGAAAAAACATGGAAAAGAAATCTTGCCTGAATCCCTGGAGATTCCCACTTCCAACCATGATCAGCCATGCTAGACAGAGGGGTCAATGTTCTTGACAGGTTCTTGTGTGCCTTGGGGGAGTTGAGGGTGGTGGAGCCTGAGGAACAGAAATTGTTGATAGATCAAAAGAAAAACTTCTCTTACTAAACTATCAGAGTAATGCAGTGTCTCAAGTCAGATGCACATAAGCTTCCTGTGCAGCCATGGAGATCTCTGCTGTGCGTTTAATCTAGAGTCATCTACTATTTCCCCTTTCTCCGTTGCTCATCAATTGAGATTGCTGTAACATGGAAGCCTAGCACACCCAAAGATATCAAAACTTTCTGTTTTGCTCAGAAAAACTCTTAAAAGACCATGGAGCAAGGCATCTCATTTTATTATGAGAAATTCAATCATTTGTAATATATTTCATCCAAATTCAGTCACAAACATGAGTCACTGGCTATATTGTGCCTTAAATTTCTTAGGCATTAAAAACAGTGATGCTACATGTCATTTTATACTGCATTTTCAGCTTGTTTTTTATTCTTATTTACTGTTGTAAAAAGGCTAAAGGCCATTCCTGTTAAGTTGGAGCATATGGTATGTGCATACATAGCTTAATGCAGTGTGATTATGAGAGCTGCAACATTACTGGACAATGTTGTGTTAGCAAACATGTGCATCCTACAGTTACTCTTAGATCTGGGATTGGATTATGAATTGTGCTCATGAATTTGACATCTTATAATAAGTGAATTACCTTCACTGTGAGTTTTTCAGCCCATACCCAGGCAAACTATGCAATCCATTTCTCCAATATCTCCAATAACAGCATTACTTGACTATTGATTATTGGAAATAGCAAATATTGAAAGTCTCAGGAATTCCTTTCTGTTTTCAATATTCTGTTTACAATAATCTTGCAAGATAGGCCAATATAATCTAAAGGGGGTTCAGAGGAGGGCAACAAAGATGATACAGGGCCTGGAGAATAGGTCTTATGATGAGAGGCTGAAAGAACTGGGCCTGTTCAGCTTTGAAAAAAAGACTACAAGGTGGCATGATAGCACTCTACAGGTACCCCAAAAGCTGTCACAAAGAAGAAGAAAAAGACCTCTTCTCGTCATCCCAAATTGTAGGACAGGGAACAAAGAACTTAAGCTACAGTATTCCAGGTGCAGGCTAGACACAAGGAAGAATTTCCTGACTGTGAGAGCAGCAGGACAGTGGAACCAGCTGGCAAGAGAGCTTGTGTGCTCTTCCACACTGGATGCATTCAAGAAGCAAATGGACAGTTATCTGATCGAGATGGTGTAACTGGTGTCCTGCTCCAGCAGGGGGTTGGACTCCATGGCCCCTTCTGACTCAACTATTCTATGAATCTATGAATCATCTCTGTGTTGCAAGTGATGCCACCCAATAAGGTCTTGGCTGAGGTATGAAATAGGTCTTCCATAGACTTTGTCCTGTGACACAGAACTACATAAAAACTGCACACCTTCTTGACAAAGTGGAGAAACAGTGGGCAAACAGGGAAGACTGTGATTTTTGAACTCCCTTTAAAATTTGATACATGAAGCAAGTGGCTTGCACAATAAAAATCTTGAAAGTACTCATAGCCTGAGGCTAGTCTTCTTTATGGTTTACACCTTTTCCTTGTAAAACTTGATATAAGACTACATTCTAATATGAGTGTTATATTTAATGGTTAATTTTCCTTCCCTGGACAAGCTACTTATACAGGTAGTTGGCAGCCAGCTCCAGATACCCTTGAATGAATGGAATGCTCTGGTTCCCTTTCATTCAGGTGGATTTTGGCATGAAAACAGAGGATATGACCCTGTTGATTCTTTTAGTTCTTGAAGGGGCTTTTGCTACCTTCAACAATGGTACCTCTTCGGGGTGTGAGGGCATTGCATCACTGTGGTTTTGGGTCTGCTGCAATTACTGGCTCCAGAAGGTGATGCTCAGGAAAACTACCAGGCTCCATAGATTCTCTAACATGGGCTTCTGCACAGGTCATGCTTGACTTCCATGCTACCATCTGCATTAAGTGGAATCCTCCACAATTTTAGAGTGCATTGGCATCGATATGTTGATGACACCCAGCTCTACATCCTTTTCCTCTTCAGCAAGTGAGGCTGTTGATGTGTTAGGCTGGTGCCTGGCTGCACCAATGGATTGTATGAGGGCTAATAACCTGAAGCTAATAACTGAGAAGGTGGAAGCGAGTGCTCATCCTACTCTGAATGGGGTTGCATTCTCCTTAAAGGATCCGTATCATAGCAATGTTCTCCTGAAATTTTCACTGACACTTGAGGCTCGGATGGCTCCGATGAGTCTCAGCTAGTGTCCCATCCACAGCTCTTACCTGGACAGGGGCAACTGGAGTAGCGAGATGCTCATAAACCAGCAGTAGCAAGCCACACTCAGCATGGGGCAGTGACAAACTGGATGTCTCCTTCGCTGGCCATCCTGATGGGGGCAAGTGAAGCCAACAGGTCAAGCCAGGATGGCTAGCAGTGTGTAAATGGACTTGGCTAGTATGTGGCTAGCAGCATGGAAGCGAGCATGGGTGGGTTTGCCCAGCACAAGAAACACTGGTGAAATCTTACCATTGCACTGTCCAGACTCAGTTCTAGAGTTCCTGCATTGTAGGATTAGCTTTCTGAAACCATGGCGAGAACCTGCAGTCTGTTCTCAGGTTTACGTGCTTCAACATGGCTGTCATCAACAGGTCTCGCCCTCCGTCTTTTCCTCTTCATTAGCTTCAGATGAGATTTTAGAAGCATAGACCTTCCATTAAAGATCAACAGGGTATGAAATAGTAGAAATCATAGCAGTGTTCTTGAGATATGGGAGAGGCATATGCTCATGTGAGGAGTGGGAATCATACAGAAATCCCTGCCTTCCTTCCTTTTCAGAAAAGATTCTGATGCCTCCTGCCATTTCAGGACTAGATGGCAGAAATACTGGATACTTCTCAATCAGTCCAATCACATTACCTGTTGCCTCCTCCACCCCAGCTCTGAAATGTCTTCCTCCTTTTCCAAGGCAGGCTAATTCTCATGCTCTGTCTGAGAATCTTTGCTAGGGAATCTTTACACTTCAAAGCCATCTGTGAAATCTTTCCCTCAGCCTCCTCTGAATCTTTTTCAGCGAACTGTAATGGGTCAGAGTTGGATCCCCTCACTACAGTGGCTCCTCCAGTTTTCCAGATCCAGGATCACCATTTTACCATTGTTGCTATGGAAACATCATGAAGTCTCCTGAACAAGGGGAGGAAAACTGTTTAGTCATTACATTTTACTCTACCCTGGTTTCTAACATCCGATTGCAAAATGTGTTGTTTGTACACATTGTTCCTTTGACTTAAAGTGATATTAATTTACTGAAGTTGCTGTCCTATGCATAATTGCTAGGAAGTAAGGGGCTGTTCATTATGTGGAAATCTGTATGAACGGAACACTCATTTAAAAAGCAAGGAAGGGAGAAATATTTATCTTGTATAATTGGCTTCCTGTTCCACTTTCCCATAGATTTGCAAATGCTTGTTTGCCCCTGTAACCATGTTTTGAGTTCACTACAGCAGCCAGGAGAGGAACTTGTGTTGGTCTGCAGCACTGGCCATGCTGGCTGGAGCTGACAAGAGCTCCAGAGAGAGGCTGTACGCACACAAGTTGGCTTCAACTGTCAGTCAAATCTCAAAGATTTAACTGCTTCTTTCTCTTCCAAACTGCACTTCTCTGTCTGTCAGGTGCCCATTTGAACAATGCTCCTCTGTGGAGGAAGCAGAGCTTCCAGAGATAGCCCAAAGCAAGGACCCTGCCATGGCAGAGACCTGGGGAGCCTGGGCCTCAGGAGGCATGGCCGCAGTCCCTCTGAGGCAAGAACTGAGCCCCAGAAATTGCCCTCGCCTCAAGAGGCAGGCTGGTAGACCCCCT